ATGTTTTGAGAATGACGAGGGCAATGAATGTACAAATGTGCTTTACACAATTGATGTATGTATGGATTTTGATAAGGGTTGTATGAGCCCCTAATAAAATGATTTAAAAAAAAGAAAGAAAGAAAAATAAATAAATAAGCATGCTTGGTACAGGGCAAGGACAATGAAAACGTGGGAGGCCCTTGACAAGACGGGTGGCACAGCGGCTACAACAATGGGCTCAAACAGAAGGACAACTGTGAGGATGGCGCGGGACCAGGTGGTTTTCCTGGTCGTGGAACCGACTTGGTGGCACCTAAGGACCAAGTGAGTCTAAAGCCCATCATCTTAAGCCCATGCAGCAGGCTGACATGATCACCTGGCCTGGGTGGTGTCGAGGGATCAACCTTCCCAGCCTGGTTTCCGCTCAGCTGTCTGGAGCCCAAGCTCACTCATCTTCCGTGGCTCTGCCCACATCATGGCAGGGAGCCATTCATTGCCCGTGCTCCCTCCTTCTCTGGACCACTGCCCTCCCGCTGGATCCCAGCTACCTCCATCCCGAGGATGTGGACACAACACAGAGAGCCTGAACATGAACTCGCAGTGATCGCTAGCCCATCCCTCATGTACCTCCAACGGTTCTGTCTTTTCTGGGCGACCCTGGGATTCCATCCTTTGGAGATAAGCCAGGCTCTGTTGAAGTGCCTCCTTTAATACCATTATTTCTTTCTTGAAGGAATCTCTTTCTTGGATTTCGGCCTGCACCAAGTCCTTATTTTTTTGAGCTTGTGTAAGAAGTCTTAAAAGACAGCAATGAAAAATTATGAAATTGTTTTCTAGCCTGTTCTTCTGTGAAATAGATTTCTAGTTCAACAAGGAACAAAATGCCTGCCTAGCTCAAAAGGGATTTTTTTCCCCAAATAGAAAAATGCTACTTTTAACGATACATATAAAAATACACATACATAAAATTCTATCACTCAATCACAATTTTTGCCACACTTTCACCCTCAGATATCCTTTTTCACTTTATATCCTGCCTGCCAGTTTTGTCCTCCATCCCCCTCACCGCCCTGCCCGGCCCATGCATACCCCTTGACCCATGCAATCCTTGAACTCAACTGAAAAAAACTTAGAGATGTGAACTCAGCCGTGGGTGGGTTTTAAGGGGGTTTAACAACACCGCTCGCCATAAAAGAAAACCTTTCTCCAGATTCAGCTCCATGCCCCATCACTAGATTGGAAAGTTGAAGCTTCTTTACTTTCATTTAAATGTTGTGAGTTTAAAGGACTAAATTTTTTCTTGGAGGCTAATTGATAAATATCTCTAGCCTTTACATTAGTATGTCTTTTGACTGAATGATTCTGGCAACCATCTTTCTCAATGAAATAACCCCAGCTCCAGATAAAAGATCCTGGTATAAGAATATCCACTGCATCATTTTAATTTTTCATTGCATTTTTTTTACTGAAAGTAAAAAGATTCTATGGAATTTTAACATTCTATAATTAGGGGTTTGGCTAAATGTATTATGACATCTTTATAAGGTAGAATATGATATCGCCATCTCATTAAATAATATTTAATGTATAAAAGTATATACCATATAAGTGACTCAGCACAATACAAAACCGTATAAGTAGTCTGATCTTAATTTGCTTAAAATAAAAACATTGTTGAATAATTTTAACATTAAAAGAAGATGAGAAGCGATACAGAAAAGCACTGGCAGCAATCACTGAGTGGCTAGATGAGTGAATGATTTCTATACTAATCTTGATAATATATCTTCTTAGTGAGAAAAGCAGGTAGCCCCGGTAGCACTGTGGGCTAGGAACTGGGCTGCTCACCACGACATCAGTGGTTCAAACCCACTAAGCTGATCTGTAGGAGAAAGATGAGGGTGTCTGCTCTCATAATAAATGACATGATCTGACAGTGGGCTTTAATTAGTAAAACAGCGAATAGGAATTTTTTTCAAAAGAAAAAACTGTAAAGGACAGTCACTCTTTATCCAGGATAGAGAACCTGAGCTTGTTTTAATTTTGGTTATTAATCTCTTCCATCCCTGTGGACACCAACTAGTACTGACTCAACTCAGGTTGGTTGTATCACTTGACAGTAGTCAAATAATACTGTTTAGATAGTTTCTAAATTCAATGGTTTCTAAATGTTGAGCCTGGGTCAAGCAGACACATTTCCTCCGCAGGTCTCCACACCGATTCTTACTTGATGCACTGCTCTTGCATAGATGCAATCTCTTGGAATGCTGGGACAGTTTCTACAGCCCTCACGTCTTCGGGAACATTCTGGATACTTCTCACGCTCTGAAAGAGCAGCGCCAGTACCAGCTGCTGCTTCTCCACATCCTCTTCGTATCGGCAGAAAGAGTCTCGCAGCGCACAGAGTTCCTCTGTGCTGGCTGCCTCGTTCGTTTTGGAAATTTCAGGTAGGTCTTCATGAAGATCATCTAAGATAATTGCTTCTCTTTCGATCTAATTTGATAAGCAAAAAAAGAGAACCAAAAGATATCAAATACACTCTTACCATTTCAGGTCTTGAAAGAGCACCTTGGCTCTACCTATTTATATTGGCTCTTGGAAGAGTTCCCAGGACCACACCCTAGTGCAATGTCACATGTGCTTTCCTATAGGTGGGAAGATAATTCCTTTATAATCAGAATCCTATGTTTCCCAATTACAGATCCCATGATTTAAATGGTGTGCTGGTATCAAAGAGCTTCTTAAAGTAATAAAATTGAATTTTTCAGACTTCAGTCATATAAAGCGATCCTGTCCTTAAGGTAGTCGCAGGAATATAGAGTGAGCTCCATCAAACTGCCTCCACTAAGCATTCGAGGCTGGGTAACTACTGGATGGGCAACTGTGTCTACAGATTTCTTTTCATTCCTATATGCTCAAAATAGTAAGTCTGATCATTTCTAATTACTTCAAAAACTATGAAAGAAAACTTAGCCCAAATTACGGACCCAAGTCAAATGCGTACGATTACTTGTTAGGGCATCGCCGCCCAGTGGAGCAGCGGTTAATGCTCAGCAACTAACCAAGAGGTCTGCGGAAGGAAAAGCGGCAGTCTGCTTCTGAGCAAACCCACAGCCTTGGAAACCCTGGGGTGGCAGTTCTAATCGGCCCTATAGCGCCATTCTGAGTCAGGACTGACTTGATGGCAATGGTCGGGAAGTGAGGGAAGTCATGGTGGTTCGGTGGCAGAATTCCCAGAATTCCCACCTTCCCACAAGGCACCTGAAGCACAGCTACCACTGGTCTATCAGGAGGGTTTGCAGGTTGCTCTGATGTTGAACACGTTTCAGCAGAGCTGCAGACCAAGACAGACTAGGAAGAAATGCCTAGAGATCTGCTTCTGAAAACCAGTCCATACGAAACCCTACAAAGCACATCCATCCAAGCCCATTTTGCATAGGGTTCTCAGCAGCCGCCTCAAGGGCAGCAACCAACATGTGCGTAATACTGAAATGTATAACCGCATATACCACATATCTGGAAAATTGAGTTCCTTCAGCTCTGAACCCAGAAAGAAAACAAAGGAGGTGCGGGGGGAAGGGGGAGGATCTCAAATGTCCTTCATTCGATCCCTCTTATCCTCTTCAAATCCTCTGGCCTTCCCCACCCCACCCCCCACCCCACATCCCCGAGCAGGAGCTCATGTTTACCACTTTCTGCCCCACTCAAATTCACTCTCATCAAGTAGATTTTGGCTCGTAGTGACCCCTTCTGGTTAAATCTCCACTCAGCGTTGCAGAGGGACCGGCACTCATGATGTAAGATTACGGAATACATCACACTCGCTGGTCAACTAGATGGATGGTGTAGTTGAATTCGGGAATGCCAGTTGAATGAGGGAATATTCAGCTGGATGGCCTGCAAGATGTGCTGGAAGGTGGGAAATCAAGTCTATGCACAGCCTGGGGCTCCAACATCAATGACGTTTCCAGGGTATGATCTGGGGCAAGGTAAAATCAAGTCACTCCATCTTGTCCCCCATCACTCAGCAAGAGGCGCGGGACTGAGTGGGCTTACATGAGCCGTGCAGGCAGCGTGAGCTATACTTGGAGAAGCTGCTCGCACGCAGAGTGTGGTCACTTGAGAGAGGCCTGGAGAAAGAGCAGGTTTGGCTGCAGTATACGCTCTTCTGCCACTTGAGCCATATAATCTAACCGAGTCTCCAACTGGTAGAATGTACCAGAAGCAAAGGATAGAGATAGATTGGCCTTTCATGATAGGACTTATGTTTTCCACGATCTCAATCCTAAAATTAGTTGAATTAGAAGTCCTGGATTTGGGGCAGACTTCCACTGGAAAAAAGAGATAACATTTCCACTGAACTTGAAACAATGACTTCCATGGGGTCGTGATGGGTTTCCTATCGTGAACTTGATAGGATGGAGCCCTGGTGGTGTACTGGTTCCACATGGGGCAGCCAGGTCAGCAGATTGAAATCACCAGCTGCTCCTGGGGAGAAAGAGGAAGCTTTCTACTCCCTGAAAGTGTTGGTCTCGGAAATTCACAGGGGTTGCCTGTAGGATTGCTATGTCCTATAGGGCTACTATGTCCTGTAGGGCTACTATGTCCTATAAGGCTGCTATGTCCTATAAGGCTGCTATGTCCTATAGGGTTGCCATGTCCTATAGGGCTGCTATGAGTTGGCATCGACTTGATGGTAGTGAGTTTGTATTTTGGGATCAGAGAGCCAATAAGCAAAGAAGAGAATTGCTTTACTGACAGGATACTTATAGGCTAGGGCTTCCAATATATACTGAAACGCTTGAGGAACTGGGTCTGCAACTCCGAGGACATAAGTAGCCCTAATGGTGCTGTTGGGTAAGGGCTGGGCTGCTCCCCAGCCCCTCCCCAGGAGAATGATGAGGCTGTCTGCTCCGGTATAGACCAGCTTCAGAGACACTGCAAAGGCTACCACGAGCCGGATTGACTCCATGACAGTGGGTTTGGGTTTGGGTTTTCCTGGGAGAGAGCTTCTGTCATGGGGCTCCCATGCCCATGCCAGTGAGAACGAAAAATGAAAAGCTGCAGGAACCACGATCCAGTCAGAGTCTATAATTAAGGGCACCTGCCTTTCCTATTTCATCCTCCTGGTCTTGAACTCCTGTTCCCTATGATCATTTTCAAAATAAACTGCTGGTTAATTGTGATGATGTGCAGACAACTCTCTTCAGAAGCGGTCTAACTATGGAAGTATATGTTATGAGTATTATATCAAGAAAACTACCTTCCCCCCCCAAAAAAAAGGAACCAGACGTGTCCTATGGTGACCATGGGTAAAGGAACCAGACGTGACCTATGGTGACCATGGGTAAAGAAGGCAGAGTTCTTGCTTAGGGGCACAGTTAATTTTAATGGTGGTGGAACAATATGGAGAGACAACAACCATGGTTGTACAATACAAAGAGTATACTGAGTCATACACCTACAAGTTGATGAACTGGTGAATGTTTTCTCATGTATATTTTTGCCAAAGTTCAAAAAAAGTTACATAAATAACAAGGAGGGCAGGGCAAAAGAAAATGTTCTAAAATTGATTGTGGTAAAGATTGTACAACTCCTCTTGATGTGGTTGAACAATTCAATTGTTTGTTATGTGGATGACATGCCAATAAAACTGTTGACTAAATAAATAAATAAACTGCTGGCAGGTGAGCCCCTGGTCAGAGCCCGAGGGGGAATCCTGGCTAAGACAGCCCCCCCCCCCCCACCCCCGCCCACGCCCCCACCCCCTGAGTCAGGGGCTGCCACGAAGGGGATGTGCTCACAGTCCCACCCAGGAGAGGCTCAGCAGCCACTCGGTAATGACCCTTGAACACAGACTTCCAATAAATTGGTCAGATAATTTCCAGGTTCGCAGCTCACGATGAAGTAGGGTCTAGAAAGGGAGAACGGATCACGGATGCGGCAGGCAAGGACAGGGATGGAAACAAAAACTGGGAGTCTCAAATACGGGGACTGATCAGTACAAGCTTGTGGTACGCCTTCTACTTTCAAGCAAGGTTGAGTGTATGACTTTATCCCAGCACATTATGACCATCCTACATAATGATCCGGAGCAAATCAAAAAGGAACAACTTTCTCAAGCAGTTTCCGTTTAAACAAACAAACAAAAACAAATAAGGAGGTAAAAGGGGGGATTTAAAAAAAATTCTTAACTTTCGTTTTTCGGCTTGTAAAGTAAAACTGTAAAACGCAAATTTTAGTGTACTAAACATCTATTAAAACACTCTGAGGGCTCACTGGCTAGCTCACACCCTCAGCCACCAACCAATAGGTCAGAGGTTCAAACTCACCAGCTGCTCTGCTGGAGAAAGAGGTGGTGTTCTGCTCCTATAACGATGTGCAGCCTTGGAAGCCTTCTGAGGCAGTCCGGGTCAGTCTGATTGGGGTGCTGAGTCAGAACTGACTCAACAGCAGTGGTGCTTTATTGGTTTAGAGCATCTACTTATGAAAACCATTCCTTCTATAAAGATACAGGAACATGACATAACTATTATATGAGACCCTGCAAGGGGCCAGCAATGATCGTGCTCAGTTGCTAACTGGAAGTCGGTGGTTTGAGTCCATTTGGAAGCAGCTCCGAGGAACGATCAGCCATCTGTTTCTGAAAAGCCACAGACCGCAAACCGAATGGAACACGGTTCTGCCCTAACACCCAAGGGTGTCGCCACAAGTCCCGACGACTGACTCCAGGCAACTGCGTATTCAGATATCCACGTGAAAACGGAAGTGTGTGCTGTCACACGTGAGAAGCACCCCGTTTACCAGAATCGCACACATAGAGATCACTATAGGACATACTCTTTGTTTAACGGATAAAAGCTATTTTAAACTCTCTTATCAACCTAAGATCTTTGAATCAATAGTTTCACTTAAGCGGACAGCACAGTGGGCAAGGATCAGATTGTCCATGCGAATCCTTCTCTCCCACGGGATTGTGAACGCAGATACATGACTCAATCCCACTGTGCCTCATTTTCCTCCTCTGTAACTGAGCCCCATTCAAATAGCTACCTCATAGCATTCTCGTGGGGACCAGTGTGGTATTCTGTGTAAAGTGCTGAGAACTGTGCCTGCACCCTGTAAGTGCTGGATGGCTGTTGGCTATTGTTGTTATTATTGCACGGGGACATTCCCTTTTACAGTCTTGTTGGTCCTACTATACTCTTTGCGAAGTAGCTTCAAATGCTTGTTTGAATAATGACAACATTCTAAATAAACGGGGTCTGACTCAAGAAGACAAATTTGTAAAGGGATAAACAACAATAGAGAGGCACTGTAACCAAGTGGAAAGAATAAATGCTTAGAATGCATGGGGACCCTTGATAGGGTTTCTGAGACTGTGAATCTTTACAGGAGCAGGCAGCCTCATCTTTCTCCCAAAGTGAGACTAGGGAGAAATTATTTTTGTGGACCTAGCTGAGATAGTTAAGGTTTATTGTGCCAA